TCAAAAAGAAATGTCGTCATCGTCGTCGGCGTGCTGCTGCTGCCGCCGCAGCACCTCCTTCCACCTGCTGCTGCTGCTGCTGGCGGTCGCGAGGGCGCAGCGCCGGCGCAGCAGCTGGGAGCTGCTGCTGCAGCAACGGGCGCTGCTGCAGCGGCGGGCCCTGCTGCAGCAGGCGCAGCTGCTGCAGCCGCAGCAGCAGCAGCAGCAAATGGCAGAAAGTGCTGTGGCGGAAGCAGCAGCAATCCGACAACTATGTCGACATTTCTTTTTTAGGAAGTTTGTCTCGAAATGAAAACTTAAGTCGCTACATCTACAAAGACCTTTGCTGCTCCACAGTGGTGCTGACGCAGCACTTGAGCTTCGTGCTGCTGCTGCTGCTGCTGTACAAAATGATTGCCAAAAAGACCATTCGTGCTGCACCTCTTGTCCTTTTTGCTGCTGCTGCTCTTCCCCTCGGCTATTTGCTGCGCTGGCGGCTGCAGCCGGCGCCCCGCGGTGCGTCGGGTGTACGTACACCTGGGCGCAGCAGCAGCACGTCTGCACTTCTTTTCCTTTTGTTTCTTTTTTCTTTCTTTTCCTTTTTATTTCTTTCCTTTTTTTCGTTTTGGGCTTTGCTGCTTTGCTTTGCTGCTGGCTCCCGGGCTGGGCAGCGGGGCGGAGTTGCTGTTTCTTTTGAGGCGCGTGAAGTGCTGCTGCTGCTGCTGCTGCTGCTGCTGCTGCTGGCGTTTTTGCGCTGGTTGTGCCTCTGCTGCCTGTCTTTTATTTGTTGATTACAATTTAGTTAATTCCTTTTGTCTTTTAATATCCTTTTAGTCTTTTATTTTATTTATTTAGTCATTTACTTGTTTATTTATTTTATTTATTTATTTATTTATTTGCAAATTCTGCTGCTGCTGCTACTGCTGCTGTTGCTGCTGCTACTGCTGCTGCTGCTGCAGCTGCAAGACAAGTGCTGCAGAGCGCCGTAATCGTCTTTGGCGTTTTGCGGGTGAGGCGAAGCAAAAAAGCAAATAAATAAAAATAAGTAAAATAAATAAATAAATAAAATAAATATAAATAAATAAATAAAAATAAATAAACAAATAAAAAAATGTTTATTATTTTATTTTGTTGTTTATTCTATTAGTGGATATTAATTTGGCTTACTGCTGATGTATTATAAATTCACTCATTTGCCATTCTTTTATTTTTATTTTTTATTTCACTTAATTTAATTTAATCTGATTTAATTTAATTAATATTTAAGATGTTTTGCTGCTGTTTTATTCCTTTTGTACTTCATTACTTTTAATCCATATAATTGCCCCCGTGCTGCGCTGCTGCTGCTGTTGCTGCTGCTGCGCTGCTGCTGCTGCTGCTGCTGCTGCTGCTGCCGCAGATTTTGGCCCCGGTGCTGCAGACGCTGACGCAGTCTTTCAGCGACGACACAGTAATCAGTTTGACATCTAGTGAGCCTTTTATTTTTAAATTTATTTATTTATTTATTTTAATTTATTTAATTTAATTAATTGTTTTATTTTATTCTTTTATTCTTTTGTTCTTTTTGGCAAACTTCTGAAGTCCTTGCTGCTGCTTGGGAGCCAGCGGGGCCCCACGTGGGCCGACGTCTGCTGCTGCTGCTGCTGCTGTTGTTGTTGCTGCTGCTGCTGTTGCTGCTGCTGCTACTGTTGTTGCTGCAGTTGCTGCTGCTATTTTTGCTGCTGTTGCTGCTGCTGCCATGCTTGCTGGGGTCCGCTGCTGCTGCTTGTTTTATGCATTCGGGTTCTGCTTCTGCTGCTTCTACTGCTGCTGCTGCTGCTGCTGCTGCTGCTGCAGTTTGTTTGCTGGTGCACATCCCGCTGAACGACTACTCCTACGTCTACCGGTGAGGCAGCAGTTTTAGGAATTGAATTTAAACTGTTTCAAATTATTTATTTAATTTTTTCAATTAAAAAGATTCATTTAATTTAAATTCTTTTATTTCTTTTGTCCTTTTAAAAATGCTGGCAGTTGGGGGAGCTGTCGAGACACCAGAGAAGCCCCGCTGCTGCCACTTTGTTGGATTTTTTAATTTCATTTATTTCTTTTATTTTACTTCTTTTTTGTTTTTTATTCTCTTTATTTGCCGCTTTATCTGTCTATTTGTCTTTTCTTTGTTTTGTTTTCTCTTTTTTCTCTTTCTTTTTTGGCCTCATGTTTGATTAATCTGCTGCTGCCGCTGCTGCTCTTGCTGCTGTTGCTGCTGCTGCTGCTCTGCCCTTACCACTTGCGTTGTCCCTGCTGCTTCCACTCTATCTTTGCTGTCTCTGCTGTTGCTGCTGCTGCTGCTGCTACCAATGGTGCTGCTGCTGCTGCTGCTGCTGCAGCAACCCGGAGACGATTGACGAGCCGCTGGGCCGTTTGCTGAGTTTGAATTTGGCGCTTTTTGCAAGTGTGCTGTTGGCTTCTCGTTTGAGCACTTCTACAGAAGTTTTTGCCTTTTTGTTCTTCGGAATAGAGTGAGAAGTTGAATAGATAATTAAAATAATCAAATAAAACCCATTTTATTCAAATCTAAACAAAAAAATATCCAAAAATGATCCAAAAAGCTTTCAAAACAACCACAGACTCGAGCTGCCTGTACACCTCAACACACGCGGCCTCTGCGGTGTATGTACACCTCGTCATTTCCCTTACTTTTTGGCGAAGTGATTTTGGCATTAAATTAAATTCATTTATTTCTTTTGTTTATTTATTTATTTATTTATATTTATTTCTATTTATTTATTCATTTCTTTTTATTTATTTTATTTATTTTATTCAATCAATTTTTTTTTGTTTTGGGAGTTGCCGGTCATTTGTGGTGTCACTTCGGAACTTATTTTGTCGAATTTATTTTTTTAATTTACTTTAATTTGTTTTTAATCATTTCTAATTAACTCTAATCTATTTTAATATGTTTTAATTTAATTTAATTTAATTAATTTAATTAATTTCTTTAATTTAATTTGATTTAATTTCCCGAATATCTTTTTTTGCGATTTTAGGGTTTTCGCCTTGGCGCCCATTGCCCGCCGCTATCTGCTGGTAATTTTCTGATTTAAATAAATAAATAAAATAAATAAAATAAGTAAAATAAATAATAAATAATAGAGTATTAGAATAGATAAATAAAAACAAATAAATAATAAATAAATAGAAAGGATATTCAAAAAGGAAGTTAAGAAAAGGAATAAACTGCAGTGAAAGAGACGCAGTGCCTGGGCCCTTCCCAAACCCTAAACCCTAAACCCTAAACCCTAGAGTTTGCAGCAGCAGGAGAAATGCAGCGAAGTTAATTGGCAAAGGGGGCCACGAGGCAGATGGCGTAAAGAGCAAAAATAAATAAATAAATTAAATGAGTTAAATGAAAAAAGAAAGAAAAATAATAAAAATCAAGTACACCACGCGGTGTATCGACAGACAAGCGGTGACACAGCAAATCTCTCCTGCTGCTTCTGCTGCTGCTGCTGCTGCTGCTGCTGCAGCTGTGGAGCAGCTGGGGCTGCACTTACGTGTTGACTCCTGCGGTGATAACTTTGACGGCGCTCTTCGTTTATAAAGAAAGCTCTTTGGGGAGTATGGCATTGTACCTCTTTCTGTGGGTCTTTTGGATTTCATTTAATTCAATTTAATTCAATTTTATCTTTTTCTTCCCTCTTTGAAACCCTTTTCTCCTATTTCTTTCCCGTTTATAACTCCCTTTTCTTCTTTTTAATTTTATTTTAATTAAATCCTTTTTTTGGAATTCAAAATTTCAAAAAATGACTTTTCGACTTTCCGCTGCTGGTCTCTGGGGTGTCTGTACACCTCAAAAGCCTCTCGACTTGAAGTTTTCTTTTCCTTTTTTAAATTTAAAATTAATTTAATTTCAAGTTTTCCTTTTTCATTATTAAATTAAAATTAATTTTAATTCCTTAATTGAACTGCAGAAGCAGCAGCGGCAGCTGGGGTTTCGCGCGGCTTCACTTGTGCTTTTTCTTTTCATTTTTTTTCGTTTTTTTTTTCCTTTTAATTGGGATCAATTTTGGAAATTAAATTCATTTTTTTGGTTTATTTTGTCTTTTTTTTCGTTTTAATTGCTGCAAATTTGTTCAGAATGTTTTTTATCACTTTCGTTGGACCCTATTGGCTCATCCGATCGCAGAAGTACAAGAAGTGAGGTGTACATACACCCCAACTCGGGGTGCAGCCTCTGCAGTCTTTTCAGCTCAAATTGCGTCTTTTTTGTCCTTTTTTGTTTTAATTCCATTTATTTATGTTTATTTTTGTTCATTTATATTTATTTTTGTCTATTTTGTTTTTATTTTCTCTTTTTTTGGTCTTTTTTGTGTTTTCCTCCGCAGCGAAATCAGCGGGCCCTGGGACCTGCCCTGCGTAAAGAATTACACTTGAGGCAAAGCCGAGCTGCTGTTATTTTATTTATTTGTTTGTCATTATTTATTTATTTATTTATTTATTTATATAGTTGTTTACTTGTTTGCTGCTGCTGCTCCTTTTGTCACCAACTCCGCAGTCAATTGTCTCAAACCGCACAGAAAACTTGCAGCTGCGCTACGAGGGTTTAGGGTTTAGGGTTTAGGGTTAAGGGTTTAAGTAAAAGAAGGAGGGGCCACAGAGAATGGCAGCGAAGCATTTTCTTTAGCATTTGCTCTTCAGCAAAATCAGTTAATCTTTCTTGTCTTCCTCCGTCCCGTCTAATTGCCAGTTGTTTAGGGTTTAGGGTTTAGGGTTTAGGGTTTGAGGCTTTGCTCTTCTCTGGAGCCATAAGAGCTTCCGCGGGTTGGACGCTCTGCACGCTGTTTCTGTGGCTAGCTGCAGCTGGACAAGCAGCTAGCTGCAGTTGGCTAGCTAGCTAGCTAGCTGTAGCTAGCTAGCCAGCTAGGGTAACTGTGGCTGGAAGGCCGGCTAGCTAGCTGGCTAGGGAGTTGTGCTGCAGTTAGCTACCGCAGTATGACTAGCTAGCCGCCACAGTATGGCTAGCTAGCTACCACAGTATGGCTAGCTAGCCACCACAGTGTGGCTGGCCAGCGAATTAGGTGAGGCCTGATGGCCTTAGCAGGCCCCACAGCTGCAACTTAGGGGTTTTAGGACAGAGTCTTGGCAGCAGACCAAACCCTAAACCCTAATTTAGGGTTTCGGGCGCCTGAGCCGTAAGTCCTATTTCGAGTTCTATGGCTCAGCGCTCTGAGCCCGAAACGCTAAATGAGGGTTTCGGTGTTGCGGCGGCGTGTCGGCGGCGTGTGCAGGGTCCAAAAAGACTAAATTTGGCATTAAAATGCAAAACAAATGAAAAGAAATGCAGAAAAATAAAAAAGAATTAATTTTGAATTAGAAAAGGCAGCAAAGTGGAGCTGCGTTGGCTGCCGCGAGGGCTGTATGTACAGCTCAGGGGCCCCGAGCAGCAGTGGGGCTGCGGAGCCGAAAACGCATGCAGTTTCATTTTTTTCTTTTTTAGAATTGTTAATTCTTTAAAGTAAATGAATTGAAGTGCCTTTTGGTTTCGAAAAAGGCGGAAAAACGGGGTGTACGTACAGCTCAGCACCGCAGCCACCATGGCGCTATCCACCGCCGCTCTCTTTCCGCTCTCCAGAAACGCCAGGGTGAGTTCTTCTGTTTTAATTTGCAATTTAAATTCATTTTTTAATTTATTCCCTCTTTTCCATTGCAGTTTGCTGCTCATTTCCACACAAATTGCTGCAGACGCAGCAGCCGCAGCATCACCAGCAGGAGCAGCAGCGGCAGCAGCAGCAGCGGTACACCCGAATATCTCCGCCTATTCCTTCCCCCTGCCGCTCCGCTGGACTCCCGAACAGCGCAGCAAGCAGCAGCAGCATCAGCAGCAGCAGCAGCAGCAACAACGACAAGAACAATGGCAGCAACAGCCGCAGCAGCACGCATGTACTATTGCTGCTGCTGCGCTGCTGCTGCTGCTGCTGCTTGTTTTTTTTTTTCTGAAGCTCCCATTTTGCCCTCTCTTCTGCCTGGGACATCCTTGAAAAAGCCATTTGTTATTTATTTACTTATTTAATATATTTATTTATTTATTTTAATCAATTTATTTAATTAAATTAATTAATTTCTTTACTTAATTTATTTGTTTTTTGCTGCAGGCGTTTTCTTCCACTGCGCGTGTCTTCGTGGACCGCAACACCAAAGTGATCTGCCAGGGCTTAACGGGCCACCAGGTAAACCCTAAACCCTAAACCCTAAACCCTAGACCCTGAGCCCCGAAGCGCCGCATTCATGCTGCTGCAGCTGCTGCTATTTGCTTCAGCAGCAGCAGCAGCAGCAGCACGGGGTGTAGCACTTGGGGTGCTGCGCTGCTTCGCGGCGCAGGGCTATTAGGGTTTAGGGTTTAGGGTCTAGGGTTTGGTGTCAGGGCAGCCTAAAGAGCGAGCAAGCCTTGCTTCGAGGCTTTAGAGTTCAGGGTTTAGGGTTTAGGGTTTAGGGTTTGATTCAAAGCAGATCTCACCGCGAGAAGGCCCTCCTTCTAGAGCCCAGGTTTCTTTCCCAGGCCTGAGGGTTTAGCCCCCAGGGCCTAGCGTTTAGGGTTTAGGGTTTAGGGTTTAGGGTTTAGGGTTTAGGGCTTTTGCAGGGGAGTTTCCACAGCGAGCAGGCGCTGCATGTATAGCCCAGGGCGAGGGTCTGCGGGCTA